GTTCTTCTTTCCTCTGCTCCTGCGCGGCTGGTGCATTCACACCAGACGACGCACGCCTAAGGGCCGTCTACTCTACCTTTGATCTTATCGGCCTGCCTAGGTATTCAAGCACTGGCAGCCTGGTTTCATTCAAATCTACCTGCCCAAGTCTCGTCACATACAGCATTGACTAGACAAAAGCTTGCGCTGGCACGGAAGACTTGCTGCCTTCAAACTCTATTGTCGCAAACTCCCTGGTTGCTCACATTTACCCAGCCTAAAGTGGGCTGTCTGAAGTCTTGCAATCCGATTGAGCTCAAGGTTATCACGGCGGCATTCAACTCATTCTCGACATTGAAAACGTGGGACAGCCGGAGGTCTATATACGTACCACGCATTTGAATTAGCTTGACACGCGACATTCCTGACTGGAACGTGTCTCGCGATAACCCCGGAATCTTGAGGATTACATTCCAGTAACCCTCATAAACACTACAATGTCCTTCTCCAACGGTGGAGGTACACTGGCTCTGCCGTCACCCACACATGCCCATCATATGGACGTGTCGTCGGCAGTGCGCAGTCTTAGACGCTCCATCTCCCGATCACCATCAAAGTTCTTGTCGCGAACAAGCTCACAAAGCTCGGATAGCTCACGACAAGCTTCACCCCAGTCGCCTTGCCGACGTTTCGGCGCGACTCCTCAGCGACAATATATCTCACCGTCACAACCCCAAACCGCTCCTCCAGCAATCACGTCAACACATGCATCAACGCCTCACCAATCATCTGTTCTAACTCCTCTCCGCCCAAGTGTTCGACTGTCGTTGCGTTCCGCCAAATCTGCCAAGACAACATCAACGTCATCTCGCCCGCTGGCTCGTGCGCGGGCTTCACCAAAGAGTCCCCTCAAACGAGCCTTCAGTGCTGCTCCCGATTCTGGTAATCCGGGCCAGCCATCGGTTACGTCTTCACCCACGTCAGCCACCCCGCGTGGCCAGGACAACAAGTCATCGCCTCGATCCGCGCATAGCCCTGGAGAAAAACCATCACGCCATAGCTTTCACTTGGACGTGTCAGGGTCATCACAATACGCAGCACTCAAGGCCTTGGAGACCCCCAGCAGTGAATCTTACATGGTCTCAACGACTGGCGCGTTGAAGCGCAGTGATGCGACGATGAACCTGGATTATCCTAATCAAGGCAGCCCGGCCTCAAAGCGGCGTAGCTTACATGGAGTTGCCAGTTTTGGTCCATCTGGGGAGTTCAACATATTTGGCGCAAACACGTCATCGTCACAAAGCTTCGACATCCATGAGGACCCGCACGCATCAGAGTATGAACTAACCGGAGCAAACAATGGCCTTGTTAACTCAAACCGGGAACCTCTCTCTTCTCCCAGCCCGGTAGCAAATCTTCCGAGGCGATCTTCTTCGCTGCGAAAGTCAACCTTGCAGCAGAGGTACGGTGAGAAGGGCTCATGGGGTCGAAGAACTGGAGAAAGACAACTCGCACAAATGGGCGGTGATAATTCCACACCGGTTCGAAATCGCCCTCGTCTTTCTACAGATCATTTCCTTCCTCCCCCAGTACCTCGAGACAGCCCATTCAATGCGGGAAGCCCTCTGCCTAATGCTTCCATTCACCCATTGGACAACAAAGGGCAACATCAACCTCACCCTTTATCCAAAACCCTCACAACCTCCACCTCTGGCAACAGCTTGACAGAGGAACCTTCTGGGTATGCACCGGGCCCTAAAGCTGCTGATAGGCCAAGACCACATATATTTTCCCGATCTTTGCCCCTGAACGCAACCAGACCAACTGCACGCTCTACCAATGACCATACCAAGGCTGTTGCTACGCCCAGTCGGTCCCACCAGCTGTGGATTGCCGCTTTCAACTCCACGGGCCTTATATCCAAGGTTAATCGAAATCCTGAGGAAGAGGCCGACAGGAAACTTGCGCCGCCAGACACGCCTTGCAAGAAGCATACTAATCCCTTTGCCACATTCCCTCCTCCAGTTGGCAGCGCAATAAAGAGAAAGGGTAACAGCCGAAACTCTTTCGCTGGCCTTCCTTCAACACCTTTCCATTCATCATCATCACGAGCTCCCGACACCTTTGGTCAACCTGCCAAGGGACTTTCTATTTTCCAACGCGGCTCCGCTTCACATAGTTCGCGCCGTGGCAGCATTCTAAGCCTAGAGGGCGAAGATAGAAAGTTATTTTGCGACAGTAACGAACTGCCAAGTATTTCCGATGGAGATATTCCGCCGACACCAACCAAAACGACAACTCTCACCACGAGCTTGAGCAATCTTAGTGAGCAATCACTTGAAAGCCCAAGTGCTAACCGAACATTCATTTTGCCGCTTTCTGCCGTCAAACCAGCGGCGTCACGGGAATCAACTAGTAAGCATCACGCCTGGTGATATCCGGCTGACCATTTTACTAACATGCTGTGAACCATTTAGGAAGCCCAGTTGATGGCCGCAGGACTCCTCAAACACCACAAGAGTCATTGCTTCCTTTGGATACAAGCCGTCTGTCTATTTCACAGGCGCCTGATAATGTAAATGACAACACCATGCCCCCACCAGTCACTCCTACCGCTTGTCGTGACTTCCGATCATCCACCAGCATTTTTGTCACACCGGTCAATGCCCGTACCAGTAGCCTGGATATCGATGCTAGCCTGTACTCGAGGTTTGACAAAGTTGAGCAAGTAGGCAAGGGCGAGTTCTCTACCGTGTACCGCGTGACCAAACTTGAGCATGTCAGTGCATTTATGCTGGGCAATACCACCCCAAGTCACAGCGCCAGCCGCAGCCCTGCCAAGGGCCAAGTCTTTGCGGTCAAGAAGAGCCGACACTCTTATTATGGACACAAAGATCGGGAGACGAAGCTCCGCGAGGTGCGCACTCTTCAGGCATTGACGCATGCCGAGCACGTTGTTCAGTATGTTGATCATTGGGAAGACAACTTTCACCTTTATATCCAGACAGAATTTTGTGAGGAGGGCACTTTGGAGAAGTTTCTAGGGAACGTGGGGCGAGGTGGCCGGTTGGACGATTTCCGCATCTTTAAGATTTTGCAAGATCTATGCTTGGTAAGTAACCGTGTTGAGTATGCTGCTACAGTGGAGGAGAGCATTTTTACTGACTATATCTGGTTTAGGGATTGAAAGAGATCCATCATGCTGGATTTATGCATTTGGATATGAAACCGGCAAACATTCTCATCACTTTTGAAGGAGTGCTGAAGATTGGTGACTTCGGCCTGGCTCAGCCATGCACGTCAACAGAAGGCGTCGATGTAGAGGGCGACCGCGAATACATGGCTCCCGAGATGCTCAAAGGCAAAGCCGGTCAATCCGCTGACGTCTTCTCGTTGGGTCTAATGACGTTGGAGGCCGCTGCAAACGTGGTACTTCCAGACAACGGTCCCACCTGGATCGCCTTGAGATCAGGGGATCTATCCGAGGTTCCTAGTCTCACCTGGACACCTTCACTCGAAGTCCAGAGGGATGCCATTGGAAACCCCACCGAGTCTGCACACAGCGATGATCTTCAAGAAGGAAAAACAAGAAGTGCTAGTAACTTGTTCGGTTCGTTTAAGCGATCAGAACTACAGCAGGCCCCCGAATTCATGCTTGAGGCATTTCACCCCAGTTCGCTTGACTCTATTGTAAAATGGATGACGGCGCAGGAACCAGCAGCCCGCCCTCTAATCGACCAAGTCCTTGAGCTTGAAGGCCTTCGATGGGTCGCTGAGCACCGCAATGCACCTGCAACAGTGTACGAAGGAAACTGGGGCCCCGCTGAGATGTTTCCCGTTTCTATTGCCAATGACAGCGATACGGAAATGACCGACGTCTGAGGAAGGAGGAATATGAAAGCAGTGAAGAAGTTCTTGGCGCTCTTTATCCTGACAAGGATATTACAAACCCCCCTATTACGATTATTCAAGATATACCCTACGCACCAGTGAGATGGTGCATCGATATGTGGAAACTGGCGACTCTTGTACTGGAATATGTACAAGTTAATACTTGGCAACGGCAACTTTGGAGTACGATATGAGAAATGGCTGCCACTGGATGGTGAACCAAGCGTCGCAACCCAAAAACGCGATTGACGACTATCAAATGTGTGATACTTATACAAGCGAGTGTGGTATTGCTTTTGTCTGTTTGAGTTTTCTGTTGTCAGGCTGCGGAGGTGAAGAAGACGTTCCTTGTGGTGGACTTCTTCGGCGAAATGATGCTGTAGGCAAGAGCCTAGTCAAGACAAGCATGGTCTTGGGGATGTCAGATACAGCTATGAGAAAAGAAGCTCATATAGGTATCTCAACCTCGTCTTTTTTGGGATGTACAAGGCGTCTGGATTGTCGCAAAAATATGTAGATATAGATATTTTGTGTTGGGCGGAGGCGGGTATTTGTGACTGGTACTGTTGGTAGGAGCATTACGGATCTCAATGGCGTCATGGGGCATTGGGTTGCCGAATCTGTTAGTCATGGTTCTATGATGAAATGGCATGAAGATTTTACGACCCATTAAACATTTTAAACTTTGCTATATGTGTTGTGATGTGTGTGCGCGTACCACAGCAGGAGCGGGCAGTGGTTGAATGCGGGATATCAATGTAGCGAATGTATTATTGATGCGCTCGGGGCTGGTGGAGGTACGTAGGTACATGAGGCCGCGGCGAGTGAGGGGTCTGCACAAGAGGACAGACATCTGGACTGTGCTGCATCAAGAAAGTCTCCCAACTACCTGCATATAGCACCCACCTAATAGGTAATTTCTGACTGCAATTCTGATCATCTCGGACTACTGAAAGGGTTTCATATTGAAAAATATAAAGCTCGGCATCTGCTAAATGCAAGGCTCATAGTTGTATGTTGTGGTTCTTGTCCCCTGCTTGAACACCTGATTGAACTTGTGTGAGTAGGTGTGTTCGCACGATACTCGAGCATCCTACCTAGCTCAAAGTTCCCTTCCTACCGTTCTCACGATGACTGGGACTACGTTGGAAAAGGGACAATCTGGCCTCCCCACGCCCGATAGCACCCACTCGTACTGGCATAGAGAGCCATCGGCTGTACTCCTCGGTCACAGAACGACGGAGAAGCTCCCCCCTGCGGCAGATGTCATTGTTGTTGGAAGTGGGATTACGGGTGCTTTTGCTGCGAGGGAGCTGGCAAATGAGGGAAGGAATGTGTTACTTCTTGAAGCAAGAGAGGCCTGCTGGGGGGCAACAGGCCGGGTAAGTGAATACTTGATACACACTCCCGTAAACATCCTCGGAACGTGTGTTAATGATCACAGAATGGCGGCCACTGCCAGCCCATGGTGTACGGGTCCAAACCTAGCATTGCTCGGTTTGAGCTGGGCACATACGACTTCCTCAAGGGCTTTATAGCCAGGAACAAAATCCCCTGTCACTGGCATACCGTCGGCGGCGTACATGGCATATTTGACGACGACGTACTGGCAGCCGTGGAGGAGATTATCGAGCGACTAAAGACGAGCCACCCTGATCTCGCAGAGAAGGCTATTCTCGTCAAGGACGAACGTGGGAGGAGGGCGCTTCGTGTCCCGCAGGCCTGTGCTGCAGTGTACCAGCCTCACGCCGCCAAGCTGTGGCCGTATAAGCTCGTGGCGTGGGTTCTTGAGAGTCTGCTGAGGGAGTTCCCGGATACCTTTAATATGCAGACCAACACGCCGGTCGAGTATTTGCAACACTGTGACGATGGGTGGATCGTGCATACTCGCAGGGGACAGGTTGCCGCCAAGGATGTACTCCTCGCCTCGAACGCCTACACGTCTTGTCTGCTGCCCAAGATGACGGGCATCATCACGCCGGTTCGCGGGCAAATTGTGGGGTTGACGCCGCCGACGGGCGATGTGCCGCTTGAACATACGCATGTCTGGGCAAGGGGCAGACACGAGAGCTATTTGATCCAGCGGGATGGTGACGGGATTCTCATCCTTGGCGGGGAGAGATATGCTGCCTCTGGTGCCGAGGAGGGCATTTGGGATGACGGCAGCGTAAATGCCGACGTTGGGCGGAAGCTTCGCCACGAACTTGGCCAGAGTCTCAAGTTGCGTGGTCCCGACCACGAAGAGAGGAGCCAGCTGGACGCACAGTACGAGTGGACGGGCATAATGGGTTACGTAAATGACGGCCATCCTTGGGTTGGTAGAGTTCCTACTGAGTTTGGAGGTGAGAGGGACAGTAGTGGAGATGGTCACTTATGGATAAGCGCTGGGTACAATGGGCATGGGATGACGGCTGCTGCGAGGTGTGGTGTGAGAGTGGCGGAGATGATAGTGGGAAAGAAGGCGAGTTTTGATTTACCAATCGAGTATGAGACGAGTGCGGAGAGGGCGGAGAGGGCGAAGCGGTTGGTTGGGGGGAGATTGAGCTTTGTAGATGAGTTGAGGGCTTTGCTGGAGGAGTAGATGCAGGTAGTTGAGACGTAATGAAGTTTGGGGTAACTGTTTTCCTGATACGTAAGACAGCGTTGATTGACAGTTGTCTATAAGAAGGCACGCTGATAGAATGTGGTGGAAAACAGTGGCCATCTCTGGTAGCAGAAGGTAGTTGGTGTTTGCAGCTGCGTCCAACTGAAGAGAGTTTTGTGATGGGTAATGGCCTCGGAATGAGTGGGCTTTTGACCGAATAGTATAGCATATTTATTCACAGAACTTGGAGAGTAGTCGAATGTTGGATTAACCATGATAAATGAATGCAGTTGTGCTGATGAACTCATCTGTCGTTGGTGGGCTAGAGGACGTTCCTAGGCCAAGCTGCCTGTCCTCACAGTGCGCTGCCGTTCATCGTATTCTCAGTTGGGCTAAAATGTTCGGAGGAATGCCATTCATAAGCAAGAGGATCCCAATTTCTATCGTCGGAGGCAAGGAACGATTTTCGACGTTCCAACTCAAATGTTCGATTGCTTCATGTTGTACAAACATGCAAAGTCTCGCTCCTCGCGTAGGGCGGAACATTACCGATAATCAGCCGACCACCCAATCACAGCAACCCATTTGCAAGCACCACCAAACGTCTGGCGTGGTCATGGACTGGTCGACATTTCGACTGGAGAAAGCTCTCTCAAGACCACCAACTCCCTCGCCTCTTCGCCCTGCCGCCTCCCCTCCGCCGACGACCGCCATTGACGCTGCTCAATCAATTCACAATGGCGAGCAAGATCACCCCCTTCCTCTTCCGCTCGTGTGTGCGCACTGCATCCCGCGTGGCCCGGCCCCAAACGCGCGCCTTCTCCATCACAGCTTGCCGGCCGAGCGACACCTTGATGATTGTACGTCTTGTCCACTGCCCCAGTCTCCCCGCCCCCGGAGGGATCGAGCCAATTCGTGTGCTACGGACCTCCAAGATGTCAATTAGACTCGAAGGAGCAGAGGGGATAGGTGTCTAGACCCGACAGTGACTTGGCAATTATTGCCTCTAGCGGAGGACATGACCTTTGAGCACGCCGATTGCTGATACTCATCCGTAGCACCGAAATACCGCGGACAACAACCCCGATATCCCCTTCAAATTCAACAAGGAGAATGAAACCGTCATCGCCGAGATCCTCAAGCGGTATCCCGAGCAGTACAAGAAGGCCGCCGTCATGCCCCTGCTCGACCTAGGCCAGCGCCAGCACGGCTTCACCAGCATCAGTGTCATGAACGAGGTCGCTCGCCTGTTGGAGATGCCGCCCATGCGAGTCTACGAAGTGGCCTCCTTCTACACCATGTACAACCGGAGCCCCGTGGGCAAGTTCTTTGTCCAGGCATGCACAACGGTACGCAGGCCCCTCACACGTCCGCCGGAGCCAACGGGGAAAAATTCCTGGGCTCCCGCGACGACGGTTACCTTTCGCAACAAAAAACTCTCTAGATTGCTAACGCTCGGCAGACCCCCTGCCAACTGGGCGGCTGCGGATCCGACGTCATCGTCAAGGCCATCAAGGAGCACCTCGGCATCAAGCAGGGCGAGACGACGGCCGACGGCCTCTTCACCTTCATCGAGGTCGAGTGCCTCGGCGCCTGCGTCAACGCCCCCATGATCCAAATCAACGACGACTACTACGAGGACCTGACGCCCGCGACGGTTGTCGACCTGCTCAAGGCCCTGAAAGCCAGCGCCGGCGAGGCCAGCGCCGCCGCCAATGTCCCCAAGCCCGGGCCCCTGACGGGCAGAGATACGTGCGAGAACAGCAAGGGCCAGACAAACCTGTTGGATGAGCCGTGGGGCGTTGAGAAGACGAGATCGGACTTGTAGATTTAATTTATTGTTTTCTTCCTTCTTTCCATATGTACGTTTAGCTGGAAAGAGACGACCGCAGAGTGAAAAGTGTAAGCTGAGATGTTGCGATGCTAGGGGACTCAGCGGATGAAAGCTAGGGGGGCGAAAACCCAGACACTGTACATAAATGACACCATTGTTGAAATGCCACATGGTATAGACTATTCTTTGAACTTGGTTTCATATTGCTCGTGTCCGTGTCCCGCAACGCACGCCACACGACTGATGAAATAGCACTCGTGCGCTACCAACCTACCTATGTAGGTAGGTATGTATATACATATTCGTCACAATTTATTTCCCTTGTCCCAATCAATCACTCTTACCGAGGCGGAGGATCCAACCATCACCAATCCTCTTGTTATCGGCGCCCAACCCGCCCCAAATCATGATGCCGCTCTCCTCCAGATCGGTCAGGGGCGCGCTCGCGATCCATCCCCTCGCGGCGGGCACCCCGTCGCCGCTCTCGTCGTCGTACTCGGCCATGCTGACCTTTTGCCACCTCCCCTCGCCCGTCTTCTTCCCCACGGCCTGGAGGAAGGCGGCCCGGACGCTGGCGGCGGTCATGCCCAGCGGCGGCACCTCAAAGGTCCACACGTCGTCCAAGAAGGCGCCGGCGGCGGAGTGGCCGTCGGCGCTGGGCGCGCGCTCGCCCATGGCCAGCACGAGATACTCCTTGCCGCCGCCGACGGTGAGGGCCTGCAGGGAGGCCACGCTCCGCGGCGCGGGCCACTCCTGGCGCGGCTCGGCGCGGATTTCGGCGGGCGAGGCGTCGGCGCCGTCGCCGTCCTGCGGAATGGTCTGCCAGCCCGCGCGGGCGTGGACCGACACTTCGCCCCGGGAGGCGCCGTCGTCGAAGGTTTCCACCTCGAGGTGCAAAAAGTCGAGCTGGCCGCCGACCTCGGCCTCACCGTCGTAGCCGCCGAAGCGGAAGAGGCGGCTCTTGGATATGCAGATGGCCGCGCCGCCGCGTGACGGGCCCGGGGCGGCGGGCAGCTCGGTCCATGTGCGCGCGCGCACGTCAAAGGCCCAGAGGTCGCTCGTGCGGTCGCCGCCGGCGAGGCAGCCCGCGTGCACGAAGAAGGTGCCGTAGCCGTCCGACTCGGTATCCACGGCCTGCTCGGCCACGTAGCCCACCACGGGGTCCTGTGGGATGCCCGTCTTGGAGGTGTCGCCCAGCGCCCACTGCCGCCAGGTCTGCGGCTTTCGGGCCGCCGCCGATGATGAGCCGGGCTCGGGGAAGTCACGCGGCCGGTCGCTAGCCGTCGCGCAGTGGTAGCTGCGCGGGCTGGGCTGCGGGATGATGGCGCCGCCCTTGACCGCGGGCACCGGGTCGAGGTGCGACCAGGCGTGCGAGCGCGTGTCGTACACCCAGACGCGGCCGGCCTCCTCCAGAGGCTTCATGTCCGGGCCGCCGCGGCCGCCAAACAGGAAGATGCGCGACCCGATAACGGCGGTTGCGTGGCCGACACGCGCAGCCGGCACGTCGCCGAGCCTGGGCCTGACGTCCGTGGCCGTTTCTTTGCCCTTGCCCTTGGGCCCTTCCTCCTCCTCCTCCTCCAAGGCCACCTCATCCAGGTTCGCCGTCTGCGCGGGCGCCGTGTCAGGCTCGACCGCGGCCGCCCTGGCCTCGATCCGGTGGTAGTCGGCCCCGGCACTGCTGGACGGCAGTCGAATGATGTGCATGTCGTTGCCGACTGGTTGCCGCGCCTCAATCTCGCCGCCAAAGATGTAGGCGCTTCCGGCCACGACATTGACCGAGTGCGAGGACCGCGGCAGGGCTGGAATGTCGATTCGCTGCCACGTTCCTTGCACGGCGGCGGCGGCCTTGCTGTTTCTGAAGCGGAGCTGCGATAGGGACGGGAGGCTCTTTTGCAGATGCGGCAGGCCGGGCACGCTGGGCATGTCCATGTTCATGCTCCTGGGGAGCGACGGCATGTTCTGCTGCGCTTGCTTGAAGAGGTCGGTCGACCGACGCTTGAGCTGGTTCAGCGGCTCCATTTCACTGGTCGGCTGAGGCAAATTGCTCGTGGTTGAAGCTCCGATGCCAAAATGCTGTAGAGATGGGATGAGGGACGCAAGTTGGACAAGAGGAGGGAGGTTATTTTACTCTAGGTCACACCTCTGGGCTGAGCAGGATTTCGGGCCGGGCTGACGTCGTCTTGCATCTCGTGGGACGTCGTCTGGTTGCTCGTATCCAACGGAGCACCAGGTGGCAGGGTTTGCTTGCTGCGCAATGGAATGCAGCCAGCTTGTTTATGGCTGCGGCATTGAGGAGTCGTCAGCAGAAGTGAGGCTTGGGCTTGCCCCCAGCGCGGGCCCTGACCAATAAGCGACCTTGTGGCGTTTCCCCGAGCCACGGGGGCCATGCTGCCCGGGTATACCGGGTACCTGGGTCCGCACCGGTTGAGACCAGACATACTCCGTACATGTACTTGAGTGGTTGTATTCCGTACGATGCTCTGCTCTGCTATCTGTCGCACGTCCGAATCCGGAAATAGAGACCTTGGGACACCAGGGCATGCAAGAACCAACATGTTTACTCACAACCATGTTCACGCACACCCGTTCCACAGCTAGCTACACAGTGGCACACATACAATCACTGATCAAGAAGGAAAACACCGTAATGGCAGAAAGTAGAATTTTGTATAAAACCTAGCATTGTCCTGTAGGATGCACTGCACCCAACAGTCGAATGGAATTGCTGAATCATAAAAGTGCTCTTCCTATACAACAAGTTGTCATGAAAGCATGATGATAAATACACAACACTTCGAGTGTATACTGTGGCCGAATACGTCCCCCTGGCCTATGTTCGTGTACAAAGCCTTGTTTAATGGCCGTCCCCTTGAGCAAGCTTTAGAGGGTATGTTTAGAAGAACTGCGTACTCTAGCGGCAGCGAGGCGTGTTGGTCGACTCGTCGAACTGGCAGCTAGTTCCCTCGGGGCATGAGCCCGCTCGCTAATTACATCGTCAGCTTCATTCCAGACGTACGCGTCACACAAAGATATCGGGAAGGGAAGACTTACTATCCAGACCTGGGTTACAACGCAAATTTGCCATGCCGAGTTGTCAGGAGTGCAGGCATAGGCACCTGGGGTGCAGACATCGTTGTTGTCGCCGGGAGTAGAAGTAGAAGTAGGCTCGGGCTGGACGGGAGGCTCGGCACCGGTGGATGGAGGCTGAGCCGGCTTGTTTTGATCGCCGGGGAACTTTCCGCCAGTGCAGGAGATCTTCGAAGGCGAGGGCTTGGAGGGAGTAGGAGTCGGCTTAGACGGGGCGCTGGGAGATGGGATAGATGGTTTGTCGTTGGTAGGAGCAGGCTTGCTGGGAGATGGCACAGTCGGCTTGTCGTTGGTAGGAGCAGGCTTGCTGGGAGATGGCACAGTCGGCTTGTCGTTGGTAGGAGCAGGCTTGCTGGGAGATGGCACAGTCGGCCTGTCACTGGTAGGAGCAGGCGCAGATGAGGCGCTGGGAGCTGGCTCAGTCGGGTTGTCACCGCCAGGAGCCGGCTTCTGGCAGTTTCCAACGGGACCCTTCAGCTTGGCGCCCTTCTCTATGGTGACGACTGGGCCGGGCTGGGGGAATTTCAGGTCGGTTCCCTCGGTTGTCGAGCAGCCGTTGCCAACGTTGGCAACGAACATGTCGGGACGCTGGCTCATGGCCATGGCAGTGCCACGCTTCTTGCGGCGCGGATCGACCTTGATGGTGACCACGGCGCAGTTCTGGTACATCTCGCGGTTTCCCTCAAAGTTGAACCAACTCCAGGAGAATACGCAGTCGCCGGCGGGGGCGTCCTCGGGCACTTTAAACTTGTAACTGGTATCGCCAGGGGTAAGAGGGCAGCCCCCCTCCATGGAGGAAATCACCTTGAAAGTGCTGCCCTTGTCGTATGAGAGACTGGCCTGGCAACTTCCTCCCTTGTGATATGCCCCTCCCGTGACGGTGAAATTGTACTGCAGGCCGGCAGTCCATTCATCAACCGGCTGGCCCTGGGGAGAATCAATGACCTTCAGGCCGCCGCGGCAGGGGAAGTTGCTGCCCCTGGGGTCCAAGGGACTCGTCATGTCGTAGTCTTGGTTGGTAGTGAACTTGTTGAAACCCGATCGCAGAGGCGGAGGGTACTTCATCTGCATGTGTCCAGCAGCGAAAGAGGCCGCGGAGAGGACCGCGAAGGCATACGAGAAACTCTTCATCTTGAGTGAGCGACAGAAAAGCAAATTTACAACGATCGACGTTGATGTATAAACCGAAAAGAAGGAAAGCAAGAAGCAAGAAAAAGAGCACAGTGCTTAAGGAGAGACTGTAAAGTTGGTTGTGAAAGAACGAAACCGATGAGGATGATATCAATCGACGACAAACTTGCCAGTTGCCAACTAGTACTTATAGACTCGCAGTCTTGTCGACCCCATGCTTGCCGGCCCCCCCATCTCGCGCCGGATTGAAGAAACGGTTCGGGCTGTCATTCCAAGGCGAACCATGGCTCCAAACCAAGGGTGAATCCAAGAAGGGCTTGTTGGCAGCCCGCAGACGAGCGGTTTGGGTAGCCAAGAGCTTCACCGTCAAGGAGAGAGCTTGGTACCGCCAACCCGCCAACCCCCTTAATTGCTTCACCCACCATGGATCACCCAGTATACAATGCAGGTTTGTTTGTCTTTGTCTGGACGGGGTTCACCTTGTGCGGTTCTGGAGACGGACGTTGCGTCCTCGGGACGAGGAATGTGTCAGGTTAGGCATAGCCTCATATGGATGGCCTCTGATGAACGCCTACCGAACTTGATCAGTACTAGCAGTATCGAGACGTTGACCTACATGTAGCAATGGCACCTTCCCCGGCTTGGCAACAAGTAGTACATGTAATCTGGTATGTGCCCATCCACGGACCAGCGGCAACCACCACTCTCTACCGCCAGTTGGCCTTTCCCGTTTCGCTTCATCCACGCGAGCCTGGCACCACGTCGCCATGTTTGCATTCAACTTCATGTTTCTGCATCGGCGAGGGCTGGCACAACACGCCTGCGACACATGATGGTCTGCTAGGATCGAGGACGAGGACATTACTGCTTCTCCAAGTTCGCGGCTGTGCGCATTCGACAACGGGCGACGACGACGGGTCCGTGTCACGGGATGGTCGCCTGTCAACGTGTGGAGGCTGCGGAGGCTGCCGGTTGAATCGGCGGGCAAAGATCCACAGCTATTATCGCAAAGATGGGATGTTACGTACAAACCTAGGTAGGTAGTATGGGCCCGTTGACCTCTTTCGATTTCTCCGAGGTTACCAGGAGTACCCATGAGACGAGATCTGAAACCAATACCGTCTCACCCAAACCTCCTACATACCAACCAGCACATGTCCCCTTTGAATGTGTCCAGGTCCTGAAGTTGTAACAGACCCATACTTCTGCGATACCAAGCAGGTACCCCTTTGCCAACAAGGTTAGCTGCTGAACCTGCTCAAGTCAGCTTATAATGACGCTTTTTGAAGCCTTGACAATATATGGCTCGAACAGGCAGGAGTTCGATTTCTTACGCCATCATCACGACATGATATTGCTCATCAAAGGGAAAGGGCTCAAGGCTACGCCTATCAGGGCTGGGTCAAAGAGCCAAAGCAGGCGGCTTACAGAGGCAGTAGGGGGTAGCGTCAAAGAACATTGAACGGCTGCGATGAGTGCCATGTAACTCTTTGTAATCCCGAACAATGGCCGGTACTTCTGTCGTCAAACTGTTTCCCAATCAGGCTTTGCATTGATGCGTTGTACGGAGTATTGGCCAGGAGCCCTACCTGTCCCGCGTACGGCCCGCGCCAAAGCAAGCTGCCAGCCCCCTTGACGGATGCTGTCCAAGGTTGAGCCCGGCGACAGCTGATGGTGGTCCGTTGTCATAATTCATGAACCTGTCATTCTTGTTTCTGGCTTCTGGCTTCTTCTTTGTTCTTGTTTTCTCTCCGAAGCGGCATTTCCCGTAGCCGCCGTGTTGTGTCAGGTTCAGGCGTAATTTGCCAGGCACGTCTGTATCTGTATGTAGGCGCCTTCGCCTCCCGAGCCTCGGATAGCTTTCTTGTAAACGAAAATGAAATTTGATCAAGGTGGGCGACCTGGTAAACAGGATCGTCGCGGATCTGTCGATCTTTCCTCTCTACCACTGCCCGAAAAGACTACACTCGAGGCCAAGCCAAGAGGTCTCCGTCTCGAAGTCGTAATTATTCAACGTCCCCCGTCGCAGGTGTTCCCCCTTTTCAGAACGCCCAGAGTTGTATCTTGGCCACTTAGCCTGATCTGCCAACCACCCCCGGTTCCCCATCACCCCTGCCCAGCGTTGCGTTCCGCGGCAAGACAGGCAGGGCTTGTCCGGATCCTAGTGTCAATTCATTTGGCGCCAGGCCACGGGTACTACCCTGATGTCGTCGAGTATGACTTCCAAGGGAGACGGATTGGAAGAGGACTGAGCGCAGCCATTCATGGTGCTTCTAATTCTGGCTGTCAAGCCGGGCCTGTCATGACTTGTTGTAGACCACACCTCGACTCCACGAACATACCTAGGCTTGTCCTTACGAGTTCGTTGTACTTGGCGCTGCTTTTTTTGTGGTCTCGCAGAAAGACGACACTGCGGAACGGCCCAGCAAGCGACCTGTCGAGTCGTTTGGATCCCGCCCTGGGAGCAAAAGTTCTAGCAACTCGCAGTTCCGTCCCATGTCCAATCGGTCGGCTTGTACCAGACTTGGCCAACCATGGAACTCCTAAATTATGACGGGAAAGAAACAAAAAATCCCAAGGGAGGACGGCAGGTTGGGCGTTTGCCATCCGTGCGCAGCAAAGGTTGAGCGGACGGGTGGTTCAACTGCACAGACGGTCTTGGGAAATGGACCAGACCCTTTTGGCAGCAACATCAGACGACAGACAGCCCTCGAGAAGGTTGGCGTGACAGCCCGAGCATGGTGGGGGTGTGAACTGCTTTGGCATCCGAGACGGTGACTCGTCGACAGGCGAACTACTGGGGATGGAGTATGAATTTGAGATACTAGTCAAGAAGTACATACTTCTAGATGACTTCCGCCGGCCCAGCGAGGCGAGGTCACAAATACTACACTCCCTATTTAATTAACTACCCGTGACCTCAGAGGCGGGTATACAACCAATAAAAAGTTCAAAGGTGGGGGAAATAAAATAAGTACCTGATTTCTCTAAAGAAAAAAAAGTAAAAAAAAATGATATCCCTTACTACCACCCCTGCTCAATTACTTAACAGGCACTTACCATATAGCCGCTACGGAGTAGATCGCCGGTATTGCTAGGGGACCGCTCTATCACGGGTAGTTAAATTAAACAGGGATACCCATCTCTTTAGCTGCCCACCGGCTTGCGGAGACTCCTCTACCATACAATTTTCTCAGGTAAGCGAGTCTCCAGAAGCCAGTGGGCAGCTAAAGAGATAGTGTGGGTCATGCATGTAATGTGACTGGAAGTCTTCAATGTTCGACCTTCGTCCCAGGCTAGCCCTAACCAGGAATATCCAGCCGCAACTCCAATAACCCTGACGCTCATCATAACAACCCTTACCCTATTATGCCTCACTTACAGTGGCGTTGTCGGGAACCTGAACGTGGACAAATACATACTTGTTGCCGGTGACGGTAGGGTCATGTACAAGAGGGGATCGAACACGTATAACTACATACTACAGTAAGTATTTGGCTGGCCATGTGCTTTATGCGGCTGTCTTTTCAGCACATCATATCTTGTCCTTGCACGAAATAAAAAAGCACGTACGGTCACCGGTTGCCTCGACCAGATACACAGTCTATACATAAATATTTGCCGAACCACAGCACAGTATCAACATGTCCGCCGCATAGTCCATCCAGGTTGAGTGTATGACCTGTGCATTATCGCCACACGCTCTCCGACCCCATCAGCTATTGATGCCTTTTCTGCCTTCTACTCAATACACAAAGTGATGTGCTGCATTTTGCCCTGTGCCATTGAGAGTGCGTGCACCGGGGAAGCCAAGTTTACCTTAGTACAGGGTAGTCATACAACAAACCGCAATGTTGCAAGCATTATGACGAGCTAATGCTGGAAATTCGCCAGTGCCCCAGTACCCACAAACCCAGGAGAGGCAAAACGCATTGATTCTTGCAACATCATGCCATGGGACCGGTGCCAGCGGCATGATGAATGCTGCGAAATCGTGCTCCGTACTTTTTTTAGGAAATTGTGGTCCTCTCGGAGCTGTTACTCCTTTGCCTTTGTAGCAAAGTAGGCCGCGATGGCGATGAGCGCCCAGTCGGCCATGAGCAGAATGCCCTGCACCCTGTCGAATTGTCAGCCCAGCCTGCGCATGAAACCAACATCACAGCCTCACGCATCCTCGGGCCCACGCGCGCAAGGCAAACCTTACCAATGAAGCTTTGCGTCCACCATGAGCACATTCAGCAGCAAGACGGACGCAAAGAGGCTGACCACCTCGAAGCCGTTGAAGACGAGGGTCACCTCGCCCAGGCCCCAGATCCAGGCGACCAGCACAATCAACGGCATCACCAGCAAGGCGGTCTGGATGCTCTTCCCGACCGTCTGGGTAACGGTTTGGCCCAGCTTGCCGTCGATTGCCAGCATGATGGGGTGGTAGTCCACATTCGCCAGCGGGAAGAGGACGAGGCCCACAAACGTCTTGGACAGGTGAATGGCCCTGGTGAGGGCATCGATGCTCTGCACCGAGTAGTCGATGTGGTAGTAGAGAAGAACTGTGCTCCCTGCGAGGAGCAGGATGGCAGTCACCAGATGAAGACGGGGCTCGTCTTCGTCCGGCACACTCTCGCCGCCGGCGCCGTCGTGCGCCCGAGACGATGGTGATGCGGAGCGAGCTTGGCCGGCAGCAGCAGCACGCACGGGGCCCTCCTCTTTTGCCTCGGCTGCCGTGTCATTGTGCCCAAGGGTGCGGGACGACCGGTAGTACGAAATAGGGTTGAATGGGAATGGCCTGGCGGGAACATGTGCCACCTCTCGCGAGAATATCTCCCAATGCGTCCAGTGCTCGCAGATCACAAAGCAGGCGTACACGACCAACAGCACGATGGACACGCCCCTCGACTGCCTGAGGAGATCTCTCCCTTCGGCTTGGTCGAGCAGGTGAGATGCCGTGGGTATGAGGAGACTGGTTGCTGAAAGGGAGAGGAGATTGCTCGCCATGTGCGCCGCGGTGCGGTTCAGGTTTTGGTACGGTCGATTGCAGCAGCCCACAAAGGTGCTGAGGCCGAGAAAGAACAGCGTGTTTGCCAGTATCGAGCCCGTGATGGATGTCTGAAGCACGTCGTATTCATGCACGCGAAGCAGCACGATGCACGATATAAACTGAATGAGATTTCTAACGTCAAGCCGCACCCCCCAAATAAAGTCAGTGGCACATTGCACCCTCATTCTGTGGTGGATGGTTATGCTCACCCGGTTGTCATGGACATCCAGTCTGCGAACAATCGCGGAACTCGCAGTCCGATTTCTGTCATGGCGAGGTTTCCGAGGAAGTTGGCGGGGAGCGTGGCGAGAAAATTGACGACAAAGGTGGCCGTGGATTTGCCAGATGTGTGGTATAGAACGAGGCCTACGGGGCAGCAGGGCATGACCAGGTTCATCAGCCAACTATGTAGAAGGACGTATTTGATTTGGCCCTGGAGAGTAAATGGCGTCTTGGGCTTGACGTTCTTGAACCCCGAGAAGAATTTCTTTCGCTTTCCAACTTGTCCAGCAAGCACCGGTGGGCTTGCACAAGGTGTCTCCTCGACTATGTTGTGGACAATGCCGGCCTCGACCTTTTCGTCCTGTGGATGGTCCTCTTGGGAATGAGAGTGAAAAATCTCCTGAATGGACGAGGTCCTCTGCAGCCTGGGGTCTGGAGCAGAGGTAGGGAGTTCATGCTGGCTCTCCTCGTCACGACGGAGATCATTGCGGCCGGCGGCAAATGCTCGTACAGGTCTGATGCGCCTCGTGATCAACTGGTTGACGGCGTTTGAGAGGTGATGTGCCTGCCTCGACTTTTCAAAATGACCAACTGACGAATGTGAATTGCCATGTTAGCAGTGCGGCAGTGCGGCCTCGATAGGGGACGAGATCACTTACAAGACATTTTGGCCTGCCTCGGTAGATATCTGCGGTTGACTGGTCAAAAGGGTAAATGTCCAATCTTTGTCTTTTGTTTGTCCGAGGAATGACAAGCATCGGTAGGCTTGCTGCGAGAAAATGCGCCAAGCTCTCTATTCAACAAAGAATATATTTATAAAAAAACAACGAAAAATAAAAACAGCCTTGTTTCTCTCATCTCCCAGCCATCGATCACCCCCAACTGAAGCCACAGAGCCTCATCTTTACTCAAAAGTCACAAAGTGTCAGCTCTCAACTCCGGGTAGCACAAGTTCATGGTCTATGGTGGTCGTCACAACAGCCTCGTTTCTCTACGTGTAACGCGTCAGTTGCACTTTAAGGCAATAGGGATACAACAGCTGGCCGAGGTGATACTGCGTGTGTCATCATCTGCCAAAAAGCCACCCATTTCCCTGGGCCTCTTCAGTAATTGCCGTTTGATAAGCTCCGAATAGATGCCATCTTGAGAGGAGGAGTTGTTCAAAGTAAGACGGGCGCTACACGCGAGGCAACAGGCGGTGGTGATTGCCGTCGTTTGCTCCGCCACTTGTGTTGGTATAAACCGAATAAGACTATGGGAAATACGCCATCATGTCATATTGCTATTGCACCGGACACTTACTTGTTGGTGGCGCTTGTTGCCTATCGGCCCGTTGCCCGGCTTCGAAACGGTCATTCTGTTCTTGCGACTCACGAGGGACAGAGAGAGAATCGATTAACCCAACAACGGCACTTTTTACTCCTCTTTGAGAACGGCTTGGTTGTCTGGAGTAATCAACGGCGTGACACGGCATCGTTTTCTCTCTCTTTCTTTGTTGTAATATGTACTCCGTACAAAACCTCGAGTCTGCGTTCCCGCATCAAAAGTGGCGTTCAACGGATTGCTTGCGCTGCCCAGCCATCAGCGCCAGAGGCCACCGCCGGCTTGCAGTGTGACCATTCGCCGTCATGTCATGATACTACGAGGCTGTCTGCATTCCCCGCTCTATTTTTGTTCATTGTCGACACGCATGGACGGCTCTTCCCGCGTCCTCTGCCGGCGGGCGGCAACCAACACACAAACAAACGCGGCCGCCTTCAGCCGACGACGTTGGCAGCCAGCTGCTTCGAGTGTTGCGATGCAACCATCAATTGATGTGATATGTCAACTGCTTCTCTGTACGGAGGAGCTGCCCGTTGTACGACCTGCCATCATGCAAACCTGCGGAAGGCCATCTTTTCTCCGCCCGAGATATTTTAAGTTGCCCTCCCCTCCACGGGTGCAGCCTCGCGCTATTGAATCTATTTCTGGCATGGCGGTCGGCCGGCCCTCCCACGTTGATATCACCCTCAACTGCTCTTTGCGCCGTCTGTCGCCCTGAGCAGCAAGTGCACCTTGCCCTTAATCCGCATTGAGAGCAAACGCCTTTTGCCCCGTCCCTGCCCGCTGGGGCTGTTGTGTCACCATGGAGGACATCTATCGCAACCTCAGTTCGCTGGACCACTGGGGACGAGGCTACGGGCCCGAGACGTGCTTCCAGGTGACTGAGCTCTGGCAGAATGGCAGCACGGGCACGGTTACCACACTGACCAAGAAGATTGATCCCATCAACGTGGATGGCTGGCTCGCCCAAGAGACGTCGTCGGGCGCCGAGGGCGACGCACAAGCCCTCATCGTCCGCATGGTCTGGATTGACGTCGATCTCTCGGACAAGGTCATCAGGCAATCAGAAAAGACGACCAGCTTTCTAGTCAATGCCTTTGGATTGAAGCTTGCATATGGCTATGCGCGCAGTTGTGTCTCGGGCACCGCCGCCCTTCCGAGCCACGTCCACGGGGAGGATGCGCAGTTTCAATCATTTTGCTTCTGCTATCCGCCCAAAATAGCAACCGTCTGGTCCTGCAGACGGCCAAGGAACGGGGGGCCGGGACGGCGCACCCTCACTCAGGGCATCTTCTTTGCCCAGGAAGAGGAGAAGAATGCTTTGCAGAAAGCCCTCCTGGGACAATGGAGTCTCGGCGTGTACAGGAACCCCATGTTTCCCTCGCTTCTGCTGGCACTTGTGATTGGGGCTCAGATTGACCTGACCACGGCCGTCATAAAGAACGACATTCGTGGCGTGGAGAAGCGGACGGGCTATCACAACTTTGCTAGCCGGCAGGGCGAGAAGCGCTCCGAGGGAGATTTGGAGGAGTTGCTGGCCAAAACAAGCGGCAGTGCCTCCAAGCTCGCAAGCACGTCGAGAAAGTCAAAGGTGCTGGAGAAACTGTTGTCTTTTATGAGGAAGACGCTTGAGGAGTCTGAGATTGGGCTCCAGGACCTGCTGCCAGATGCTGCTCCCGAGAGACCCGGCTCGGATGGCACCAACGAGAGCCCGACGGGGTCCTCGGTTCTAAAGAGCCATGTCTCGGTGCTCCAGGACAGGCAGGAGATGCAAGTTACAGATATAGAGTACACTCTCAAGCGGGTGCAAGTCCAGAGTGATGCCGTAAGTTGATCAATTCTTGGCCAACCCCCCTCAAAAGAAAGAAAGAAATGCATTTGTGTTAATACATTCGATTAGCTCTTCAACATCATCCAGCAGTACCACGCCAACTTTAACCTTGAACTCTCACGATCTACGGAACAGATTGCCTTTTTTAGCTACCGTGATGCTGCGTCCATGAAAACGCTTGCTGTCGTGACCATGTTCTTCCTCCCCGGAAGCTTCATATCGGCGCTCTTCTCAACGAATTGCTTCGAATGGGCCGGCGTAGATTTACGGTCGGGTTCCATCGGGGTGAAGCCCACGCCACAGATGAGTCTGTACTGGGCGATAACAATACCGCTGACGGGTTTGACTTTTGTCTTGTACGTGGTGTGGCTGGCATTCCAGAAACGCGAGCGGGATAACATGGTGAAAGATCAAATGCGTGGAAGAGATGGGGGCGATTTATGGCTTGACAGGTCCATGGTGCCAGAGAGCTTGGAAGAGGCGGAAGATAGGAAACTGGCCAGGACGAGGATGACCATCGACTTTGGGGGCCCACAGTTGGTGAGGTGAGGTATTCCGTGCTGTGGATGTAATCGAGTAGTGGCAATGGCTTTGCGATCAATACCAAGTGAGTAGTTCTGGGCGCAGGGCATGAATTGATCTAGTAGTGTACCACTTGTCTTGGATGAGGCACTGGTGTTGGTTTCTCGCCAGCGTCATGTCGCAGGTTGCAACGGCCCCTCCAGATCTCGATCGTTTTTCGGCAGTCGTCGTGTTGCTCCACATGGCCTCCGAGTTCCAAGTTGCAAGTTCCAAGTTCCAACGACAGCTTCCCCACTGCCCACCGCCAACAACATTGCCATCGCCTTGCGGTTTGGTTTGATTATTACCGATACGCAAATACACACACATCTTCCTCTGAAACCGAGTCTCGGCTCCCTCGACCATGTATCCGCGCAGGCCCATCTAATCGTCGAAGCCACTCTGCGCCCGCCGCCGTCGCTTGACCGCCCGCGAGCTCTCATCATGGCGTCCGCCGCAGTGGCGGCAGCGGGCACCCTCGTCCCAGCACAGCTCGGCTTCCTTGCCATATTCAACCCGTCCCTGGGTACCACGGACGACACCATCGACGATCAAATCGTCTACTATGCGTCGGATACCACGCAGGGCTCGGGCAAGAGGCGGCGGCGCACACGGGGACGTCCCACCGATGACATTTCCCAGGAGGAGCGGCACGAACGTCTGCGCCAGATCGGCCTTGCGCAGGGCATGATCAACTTCAGCCGCGGCTTTGCAGATGAGGCGTCCCTGGATACCGTCGACACAGAGAAGTCGAGGGTTATTACTCATGAGCTGGAACCGGGATGGTGGATTCTCGCGGTAAGAATGACTGAAGGCCCTCTCGTCAAGTGTTCCAGAGACAAACCATCTCCATCAAGTGACCGAGCCCAGCTAAAACGACTTTGACAGAGCATCAATCTCACCAAGGTCCCTCTTCCGCCGCGCCTTGCCACCAAATCTACTACCGAGCCGCAGGAGGAGAAATACGAATACTCCAGCAGAGAACTGAAACCAGCACCACTGCTTCTACGGGACATCCTTCGCGCGCATAGCATCTTCCTCCTGCACCACGACACATCCCTCAGTGCCTTGTTCGTGCGCAGCAAGCGCACTAAATTTACCGCCGTGCTCAGCCGCTACTGGGACCTGTTCCTATCTACGTGGAATGTCATGCTTCACGGGAACCCGGCGCGCAACATTTTTGGCGGCGTCAACATCGCAGCGTCTGGAGAACTCGGCTTCGGCGTCGGCGAGGAGGAGAGGGGCAGCGGCGAGCGCGAGGTGTTGGAGGGGCTAGTCGGCAGGATAGAAGGCCTAGTTGATCTCGTCGTATCCAGGTTTGGCACCGAGGAGCCAGAGGACGAGGTGAAGACGCATAGGGACCGTCTCGACGCCCAGCTCTGGCTAGGGACGGGCGAGGAACCTGCTGCTGAGGACGGGGCGGTATTCTTGGGCACAGGCGCGCTGAGCAGGAGGTCGCTGAGGGATGTGACGCATTGGATGGAGGACTTGTATCAGTGGGGGGATCATGCGTACGGCGTTATTGACAGTCCTACCTCGACGAGGGGCAGGAGGGGGAGGAAGCGGCGAGAGTCTGTTGAGCAGACCAAGGCTGCAAAAGAGACCGCTCCAGCAAACCCAGACAAGAAGCATCAGAAGCAGACGGGGCAGAATCAAGCCGAACAGCACAAGGAACCGGAGCATCAACATCAGCAGCAACCAAAGGAACAGCAGAAAGCGGAGGACCACCAGCATCCCCAAGAGCAACTGCCCCAAGAGTCAGCAGCCGACCCCGACAAACGCGACTCGACATCATCGCCCAAGGCGCCCGAAGACGGTAAACTCGACAAGATGCTCAGCTACATGAAGCTGGGCTACGGCTCATACTGGACCATCCCCGGCACGAGCAACACCAACACGCCAACAACACAATCCGGCACCCCAACCCCCTCCGAAACCAACACATCCAAACCCAACAACACAGAAACACCCTCGACATCGCCGATGACATCGCGCCCCAAATTCCCCAAACGCTCGTCATCCGACGCCGCTCATGGCCACTACCTCATCGGCCTCAAAGGCAGTATCTCGGAGCCACCCTCTGACAGCGAGTCCTCATCCGCATCCTCCACGCACAACAACTCGCGCACGCTCCTGCGCACCATCAACATCGAGCTCGACTCCAAATCCTCCCCCCAGCCCTCTACGACAATCATTAAAGACTTTACCCACCCGGCCAGCCCTCTGACCCAGTCCCAAGTTGCAGGCAACTTTCTCCCCGGCTACACATCGCACGACCTCAACAAGTCGGAAAAGCTCCGCGTAGTCGTCTACGTCAACCGCCCCTTCATATTCACATTCTTCTTCGGGCTGCACACGGACTCGCTGGCCTGGGACACGCTCTACCGCTCGCTGCACTACCAGCTCGCGCCGCTGAAGAAGCCGCTCCTGTCATCCACGAGCTACCGTCCCGAGCGGGGGCAGGAGTCGCCCGCCGCAAGGACGATATACAACCTCGTCTGGGACCCCAAGCAGCTCGTCACCCACTCGACGATACCCAACATACCCGAGTCCTCGGCGTCGGATACCTGGTGGTCGCGCGCAGACGCCGTCAACACGCACCTGCACCTGCTGAACACGCACGCGTCCACGAGGGCGAGGGAGGCCGAGCTGGAGAGGACCCACAAGACAAACAGAGGCTGGTGGATCGTGTGGACGCGCCTCCGCGAGAGGCCTGCCACCGAGCCGCAGGACGGGAATCCACCGCCGTCGCCGGGGTTGTCGGAGACTGAGGCCTCCCAGGGTGCAGGGGACGACGAGAAGCAGGAGCACGGCCCGGTGGCCAGCAAGGAAATCTTCCTCATCAGAAAGGCCAGCGACCACGCTGGGTTCCAGAGCCTTTCGACAGGGGACGGGGGAGGTGCTGCGGACGGCGCGAGTAAATTGGTTCAGGGGATCGGCGTTGACACGCGGAGATATGTGGAGGAACTCCTCAGCTTCTTGTGATCGATTTGGGTGTCCATTATTAGTACAACACTCACCAGGGACGGAGAGCGCATGTGGCAATCACGGTCGCATAGCCCCGCCCAGGGGTTTTATTTTTACCTCGAGTCCTGTACATACTAGTAGTGCTATTACTGGGATGCGATCGTTGTACATGGCCAAGCCTGGTACCTTCGGGCGCGTCTTAGTTAAAAATGGGACAAGTGGCTGCAACCATTCACACTCTCAGGGCAGTCGGTCGTTCGATTTTGGATTGTAATGGTTCATTTCCTCTATCCAGAGTTCAGTTCCTGCCGTGGCAGTGTCCTAGGTACCCACAACAAAAAGTCATATATACAGTGAAAGTTAACAAAAAGCACCAACCAATGCGCCTTGACTGCACGTCTTGTGCTGGCTTCCAGAACAGATAACCTGTCTGTTCCTTTTTGGCCGGATATCGTATGTCAGTTTTTTTTTTTTTACATCTTTCCCATGTATCCTGATTGCACTTGGTGCCAAGAGATTGAACCCAATAAATAAACGAGACGATCAAAAACCCAAAAATCGTAAGGTCATGAAGCTAGATGTGGCGGACCACAACGGCGTTTGAAAATCAGATGGAGCTGCACCGTGCACAGCACAGATGAATCGCTACAGCTACCTCTCGTGATCCTCAGTGCTTACTAGCTTAATTAAACCACCACTCGATCTTTGTACGGCCAACGCCAAGGTCGAAGAACTGCGTGTAACAAGCCTTGCTGACATCAATATCGTTGGCCAGGCAGCCCATGCATTTGTCCTTCACAGTGCCAGTGATAGTCTTGCCGTTGGCGCTCATTGAGATGGTCTTGCCGCACATGGGATTGCCATTGGACTGTTGGCCCATCCGAATGTGAGAAACGGCAACGATGCACTCGGTCAGGGCCTTATCCTCGTCGTCCTCGCCGCAAGAGCCCATCCCGATGTCGTACCAGGTGAAGTCGCCCGTGATCGTATCAGAACCGGGACCACCGCCACCAGTAGAGGGAGCAGATGAGGTTTGGGGGTTGCTGACAGGAGGAGGCGGGGCAACGTCAACGTGAGGCGTGGGAACGTTAACAGAGGTAGTGGAAGGAGCAGCAGCAGGAGGAGGAGCAACATAGACAGAGGTTGAGGTAGTCGTAGCTGGAGGAGCAGCAGCTTGGGAGCTGGGGCTAGGACTAGGCTTGGGAGCCTCAGGAGCAGGGGGAGGAGGAGGAGCAGCAGCAGAGGGAGTCTCGTAGAAATTGCCCGGTGCGTTGGGAGTACCGGCCGACGTAGGAGTGGGCTTGGCTTCCTGGCCGGGAGTGATCCAGACAGTGGTGGTCTCGTCGATCATCTCAGTAACGTAGACGGTCTCAGTAACCACCTCGTTGACAGTGACGACAGCACGAGGCACGTTGACGTTGTTACGGGCATGCTTGTGATTGTTGTGTGCGTGCTTGTTTGCATGTTTGCTGGTTCCGGGGCCGCTGTAATGAGGCTGGGCAGCAACGGCTGCAATCAGGGTAGCGCAGGCGACAGCCGAGTACTTCATGATGGCGACTTTAGCTGGTAGTTGAAGCGAGTTTCTCGATGTAGAGTGTGAATCTCAATGCGTAATGGACTTTGTTGACTATTGGTTGATTGAAGGAATGGCAGCTCGACTTGTCGATTGAGTGGCTGGGTGGTGTTTGACTGGCTTAGAGTAGCAGTGTGGTCGAACAGGTGATGCCGAAGCAAAGGAGTGAAGGCGGTAGAGTCCTGCTCGTGATAAAGGCAAATAACTGAAGACCGCTGGTCTTGAAAATATGAAGGAGAGTGAAGTGAGAAATAGAAGAAGAGAAGGAGGGAACTGATGACGGGGCCTTGGGGGTAGAAAAACAACCAGCACCGCTAGGGAATTTGCAAGTGTCTAAGGACTGTGAGGCTGGAGGTGGACGGATGGCATGGGCAGAAGTGGTCCGCAGGGGGCGGCAGGCCGGAGGGGGGCACCAAAAGAAGTCAACAGTACATGGACTCTTGAGGGATTTGCGCCTCGGGCGCGGAGCACTATTGGCTGTTTGCCATTGTTTCGCTCTGTGTCCGTACCAGTACAAACAAATACACATGTACATACCTGCACAAGAAGAAAAGGGAACAGACCCTGGTGCAGAAAGCACGACAGGAAGGGGGGAGGGAAGAGTGGAAAGCCACGAAAACACACTCTTGAACAGCGCTTCATTGGTGCTCTCTTCCAGCGGCGCCACGTTTGTCTCCATCGTTGTTTGTCACTGGTGCAAGATATACTTTTGTGCTATCCTACATGTGGCCCTACGAAAACGTTGAAAACCTGTTGCCGTTTGTCCAACATCTAAAGGCTCTTGCGGCCCCTGAACCCTGCGAGGCGGGTAGCCACCCGGAGCCCACCGGCTCCAGATGTCGTCTTTTCTCTCAGCCCCGAAACACTACGTTCCATTGGCCAGTGGTCGGGGCAACGCAACGCAACGCCAGCGCCAGCGCCAGCGCACCGACGACCCACACACACACACACTCTCTCAAGGTCTGATCAGGTCAAGGCTGATCAGGTACCCGACGAAGCCGACCAATGAAGCGTTCGGGGTGCCTGAGGCGCGTGGTGAAGACGCAGCTTGCATCAACCTGCGCGGGATTTCTGGTGAATTCGGTCTGCAGGCTGTGCCCCGCGGATGGTGGACACCTATTGGACGGAGTACTTTGTCCAGCATCTAGCATTGACAGTTCCGGATGTCCTTTTTTCTTTCTTCTCGTGGCGTTGTAAGAGTTTTCTATTCTGACCTTTTGTACGGAGTACTCCATACTTCGTCAAGAGTCAAGTTTTACCTGTTCTGTGGCTGGGGTGTTCTGGCAGGCCAACATGGGCCCACTTTATGCACCCCTGTACATAGAGTTCATAAGGAGAGTTTTGTTTTCAATCTCTGGTTCTTCTCAAACGGGTTTGTGGTCCTGCTTGAATAATGCCCGTGGCAGCCATTCCGACCCAAGATGTCTTCCCATGTCCACGATCCTGATGTCAGGGTACTGGCCTGTTACAGGATATTACATCAATCTGCATCGCAACTTGCTCAGCGAGTCTGGACCAGGTCGAGCTGGTTATCCACCTCGCACCACCGTCAGGCATGCACAATTGCACAGAAATGCCTAGCCTGCCAACCTGCTTTGCACTAATGCTACTCCGTAGGAATTGTGCATTCCGCGCCGCCCTTGGTCACGCAACCTTTTGGCACCAACTCGCACCACGGCCATGTTAGCGAGTGAATTGCTCGGCGGGCTTACTTTTTTGCTAGGTGTGCTTACCCCTCTTTATAGGGGATTATTTATTATATATTTTAACTTTATATATATTAATTAAATTATATTATAATAAAGTATATTTATTTATATTTATTTATATTAAAATATATTAAAATATATTAATTTATATTAATTTATCATAAAATACGGAGTACTATCCAGGTACCTAGTAGTGCGTGAGCGCACCTAGCAAAAAGAGTAAGCCTGCCGAGCAATTCATGTCAGCGAGGGGCTCGGCCGCCGGGATTCGGTATAATTTTGACCGCTGACAGGGCCACTCTGTATAAATCGCGCCTGGCTGGAGAGGCATTTTCTCAAGCCGTGGCTGGCGACAGCGCAGCAGGTACACAGCAGCAACGCATATTTATGGTAGCACTGTGTACACTGTAGAGCACTTTGCTCGTCTGCTCCGGGCATCGTGCATCCCCAAATCACGGCCTGAATGGATGCTTGCACGCGCGCTTTGTGAAAAACTAGTAACGACTCTGGCCCACCACACATGCAAGGACTTGGGGGCATGGAGGCTTACTCTAACACTGAGGTGTACGGAGTACTGGTACAAGATTGAAACGCAACGACCTTGCGGCCTAGCACGGAGCGACCTGGGGCTGGACTGAGTCAAGACGGTGTTGATCGGTGTTCCTGACGATTCTAGCTTGCGTTGGTGGTTCTGGCGCTGTTGCACACTTGGGATGAAAAGCCAAATGTGACGGTTGATGGCAAGTTGACGACAGTGTCAATGTATGACGAGCTTAGTGACACGGCGCCGTCGCAACCTTCTTGATTCACGATTGTCCGGCTGCGGGTCATTCATTGTCTTCATTGTCTTGCGGGCTCAACTACTCCGTACACCAACTCCTTTGCATTCTATTATTCATATTGCAGCACGCGCCGGGATCAGTGCCATTGATGCCGTTCACGCCATTAGAGTTTGTTCCCGCATTGCCTCTGACTGCCGTGCTCTTAGCGCTCGGGCGGCATTTGAATGAAAAGAGAAATAATGACTGCCGCTGAAACACTGGGCGATCCTCGTCAAACAGCTCCTCAACCACGAAGGCCTTCTTTGCCATTTTGACGAACTGCATGTCGGCCCTCCTACGCTTCTTGAAGCAAAAGTAGACGACGGCCTCCTCGTTGAGTGCAAGCAGATCCTTGAGCGTGTCCAAGAGTAGGGGGAAAGCAGGTTCAAAATACACGCATTCTGCTGCGATAATCACATTTGGCTTCTGCGTCACAACCTCCCGCGGAAGTGGCTCTCCCCTACAACACGAACGAACAAGCCAAAAACATGTTAGCCAGCAAAAAACCAATACGTTGCACAAGACGTAATACGGCTGCGGGTGTGGTAGGGGAACAATGAACCCCTCCCCCCTTTCTTCTCCCAAGACGAAACCAAACCAACAGGGCAAAAAAGGACCCACGTACCAGTTAAGGATAAGAGCTTGGGCCCTTGAATCAACTTGATTGAGCCGGATGTTTGTCTGCATGAGCTCCAGCATCTCATCCTGGTCGGTTAGTAAGAGCTGGTTCTCGCCACCGCATCCCAGTGCCACGGCGAGACCAACAAGTCCACCTCCAGCACCAAGCTCCAGTCTGCCATGAAAAAACATCTCTGAGTCAGCAGGTTGTTTCTACTTGTTTCATCATTCCATACCTCTCGAGAGACAAGATGTGAGAAAACGTGGCTGTGGTCCAACCATGTTCTGCTACCACTTTCTCCACGCACACTGTCCGATGTTTAGATATCCTCGGTATACCGAGTCACCATGCCAACTCGTAGCTTGGGATACTTGCATTGCAACAAATCGCTTGAAAAATGGGAACAACTCACATTCTGGCTGTCCGCATCTCCTGTCTGTGGTAGCGCAGCATGTGTTTCCCCAACACCAGTCCTGCCGGCCATGTTTGGCCACCGCATCCTGTCCTCACATCCTCATGGTAGGCGAGTGGCTCTGCCAGCTGGCCGTCAAAATCGATGCGCGCATCTCCGGCCTGCTTCAGGGTTGGCAGAGGTGTTAGATCCTCGCTGACGGCCACGGGATCTAGCAGCGGTGAAGGGGACCGACTCATCATGGCCACCATGGCCAGGCACTGACACCGTGTTTTCACCAGGTTTCACTGTGATGCAGTTCTTGCAAGGGTCCCGGTGTCGGCTTGTGAGGAGGAAAAAGAGAAGGAGCCTTCGAGCGAGAGTGTTTAAGGCAGGAGGTGGCAATCCGCCAACCAATAGGTCCTTTCCTCTCGGTCTCTTTGGCACTGCCAGTTGTCCATCTTTTCCAAGCATTAGTCCTATGAATGGACTGTGGTCCAGACCCTCGACCCTCAGTGTTCAAGTGAGCAGTTATTGATTCGATTTTACCTTATCAGAGGACCTTCAGTGATTTGCCGCCTTTCCTCATTGGGATGGACCTCGCCAAGCGAGTCCACAATTCCCAAGATTTACCATCGCCATGGTACAATGCGTACAAATTTGTACTGCCTGCTCTGTTAGGCAATGTAGGATACTATCAGTTTCCATTCTCTATATGCTGATACATTCTAGATTCAAGCGCCTAGGCATGATGTACCAATGGATTTCTGGTGATTTGACGCAAGCGATGCTTGGACTATACGACTCCTCTCCTCTGCACGGTTCGCGAAGATCCACCGTGGGTGACTCGGACGAATTGTATGTAGAATGGCCGACAGGATCAATTCCAATCACCCAAAAGGCAGAGCCCCCGGATCCGTGATTGGCCTCAATTGCCGCCGTGGCCCCGGTGAATTTTCCCCCAGAAGCAGTCAATATCGAGAGAAGCGAGGCTGGTCTTCCTCGGGGCTTCTTTTTGGAGCTTATCTGAGCGTAAGAACCGCGCCGCGACGCGTTCCACGCCACTTGATTGAGCAAGTTGGCCTTGGTTGCATCGTGACTTTTAGACAGGGAACCCCAGCTAGTGCCGATATTCAGATTCAACAACGTGAAATAGTAGTAGGGAGACTTGGGCTTACCTGTGTGCCAGCCATCATGGCGCCGCGAAAATCCAGTATTGATATGCGTCATACAACAGACTGAAGTGAATACAGCAAGACACCCGACTGGCGGCACGGGAGTCAATTTACGCGTCGGCGCGTTTAATAATGCCGGCCGAGCTCCGGATGGGACGGTGAAATTCGATATCAATTGAAGCACACGGATGAAACCCAAACACATGCCTCGACAAGCATATTTTATTGAAAATTGAATTTCGTCGCCGTCTCCGACCCCGT